CCGGGTTGAACCGGCCCGGAACCGGACCGGCCCGCTACTGTGCGGGCCCGGACCGGACCGGGCCCGGTTGGCCGGTTCCGGGCTTTTAGCCCGTGTGGGCGGGCCGGGCTCGGGCCCAGTTTTGGGCGAACCGGCCTGGGCGGTTCGGGCCGGGCCCGGATCATTTTTTTTTCAATTTTTTTCTTTTCCTAGGGTTGGGCTGGGTGTTTTGAAGAGGTTTGGGGGTGGGGGTGAGGGGGGGTCGGGGGATAACAAGAAAGCAAAAAAAAAATTAAGAATTGAACCGGGCCCGGCCCGGCCCGGACCCGGTAGCAACCCGGGCCGTTTCCGGGCCCAAGGAATTGCAAAAAAAGCCCGCCCGGCCCGGGTCCATCCATAAGTGGAGGGTTAACAAACTTAAATCTCTTCGCCCTTTAGAAGTTTGTCCTCTGTTAAAGTTAGATCTAAGATCTTCTGGGGAATCTAAGATCTAAGTAGAATGTCCCATAAATTCTAACTTTGTTCAAAGGTGTTTAAGTAGTGGTAGGGATGGACCAAACCGGGTCGGCCCAGACCTGAATCGGCCCGGCCCGCCACTGTGCGGGCCCGGCCCGGTTCGGTTACGAAATGGCGGTGCGGGCTTTTACCCGGACCGGGGGAGGCTTGCGGTCCGGGCACGGTTCACAAAAAGTAAGGCCCAGCCCGGCCGGTTCAGGCCCGGTTCGGGCCAACGGCTATAATTTAAAAAAAAAATCTTTTGGCTACCAAACAGGCCCTTAGAGCCGTTGTGATTGAACCCAAACGGCTATATAGCCGTTGGGAGCCTTCCTGGGGTCCAGGGGTGGGTTAGGGGGGGTGGGGGGTGGGTAGGGGTACAAAAAAATTATAAATACTCCATTTTTTCTATACAATTTACTACACATCTTCTCCAAATATTCCTACTCTCTAATCTCTATTCTCTACTAATTTATTATTTATATATCTACTTTATACTTAAGATGGAAAATCAAGATGCCGTTATACGGTATAATTTTGATAAGCAAAACGACCCGAAGACCGGGATGTGGTACGCAACTTGTAAATGGTGCGGGAAAAAATGTAGCATGGGGGTTTCAGGCGGATACGGGATGACAATGAAGCATATGAAGTCATGTGACAAAGCCAAAGGATCGGGAGGTGCGGGAAGTTCCGATTGATTACAATTTACAAAATGTTTGTCTCTTGAAGTTTGTTTTAATTTTCAAATGTAGTTCCTATTTCATTTCAAATAAATGCACTTGAAGTTTGTTTTTTAATACTTGTATAAAACTATAAAGTATAAAATATAAATTAAAAAAAACAAAAAAATTAACCGACCCGGCTCGGCCCGGCGGGTGGCCCGACCCGTGACCCGGGCGGGTGGCCCGGCCCGAACCGGACCCGTCCAACCCTCGGGCCGGTCCCGGGCCCATGTGATACGAACCGACGGCCCGACCGGGCATAGGCCCGGCCCGGTCCCGACCCGGCCCGAATCCACCCCTAAGTAGTGGTGGACTCGGTTCGGGCCTAGAACCGGCCGGGCCTCGGTTCAAGGAAGGCAGGCCCGGAACCGGCCCGGATAACCCCGGGTCCGTTTCGGTTCGGGTCACCCGCCTGGTTCACGGGCCGGGCCTTTTAATTTTTTTTTTTATATATATTATATAATTAGAATAATTCTTATTACAATTACAATATATTATATTCGAATTGAAGTATATTTATTTCAAATAAGAAGTACAATTGAGAATTAAGATGAATTTAAAAAATGTTATACATTTTGTAATAAAAAATCAATCGGAATCTCCGCCTTCGGTTGTTTCCTCCATAAAGTGGTGGGTGGGAGTGATGGTAATTTCTTGAGTTCTTCATTGGGCCTTCAACCAATCGTGAAAGCAAACTAGTGTCTCAAGAGAGCTCGGGCTTAACCTCGTTCTATAATCGGTTAGGACGTTGCCGGCCGCACTAAATTCTTGTTCCACGGCAACGGTTGATATCGGCATTTCTAGCACTTGCTTAGCCATCTTTGATAAAATCGGGAATGTTCTTTCATTTTCCTTCCACCACTTAAGAACGTCAAAGTCATCACCAACTTCATAATCAACATTCAATGTTAGATACAAAGAAAGCTCGTTACCTGAGCTTTGTTCAGTAGCGGGAGTTGCTCTACTTTTTTTCAAAAGAGAACCAAAAGCGGATTTTAAAAGTGATTTTCCTTTAGATGAAGAAGATGTTCGTTGCATGGGAGGGGGTGCATTACCATATTGTGCATGAAATTCATTATACAATTGATGAAATAAATTACTAACCTCGTTGAATTCTTGTTTAGGGTCGATGGGATTATCATCGAACTCTTGAGTTGGAAAAAAAGAAGCATAATAGTAATCTATACAAAATCATCTCGACTTTGAAAAGAAGACTCGGCCCACGCTTTACCTTTGCCTTTGCGTGAAGTAGATCGAGTCGATGCAATCTCCCTCTTGCGGTTGCGTTGGAGATTACCCACACATACAGAATGTCTACCACGCTCCATCTTTAAAATTGAACAAATATTAGCAATTAACTAATATGAGAAATGTAAAAATGTAGCAATTAAGTAATATGAGAAATGTAAAAATTAACTAGTTTTTTTTACTTTAATGAGAAATGTAGCAACTAACTAATATGAGAAATGTAAAAATGTAGCAATTAAGTAATTAACTAATATGAGAAATGTAAAAATTAACTACTTTTTTTTACTTTAATGAGTAATGTAGCAATTAACTAATATGAGAAATGTAAAAATGTAGCAATTAACTAATATGAGAAATGTAAAAATTAGCTACTTTTTTTTTTACTTTAATGAGAAATGTAAAAATTAGCTACTTTTTTTTTTACTTTAATGAGAAATGTAGCAATTAACTAATATGAGAAATGTAAAAATGTAGCAATTAACTAAGATGAGAAATGTAAAAATTAGCTACTTTTTTTTTTACTTTAATGAGAAATGTAGCAATTAACTAATATGAGAAATGTAAAAATGTAGCAATTAAGTAATTAACTAATATGAGAAATGTAAAAATTAACTACTTTTTTTTACTTGAATGAGAAATGTAGCAATTAAGTAATAAGAGAAATGTAACAATTAAGTAGTTTAACTAATATTAATATGACAAATGAATCAATTAACTTTAACTACTTTAACTAATATTAATATGACAAATGAAACAATTAACTACTTTAACTAATATTAATATGACAAATGAAACAATTAACTACTTTAACTAATATTAATATGACAAATGAAACAATTAAGTAATTTAATAGATAAACGAGAAGTGTATATATAAATTAAGTAATTTATATATATATATATAGTATATATAAATATATAATGTGTAAATATATTATAAGTAATATATAATATAATGTATAACTATATATAGTATATATAATATAATGCGTAAAGAATTATAATATGAATGTGTATAAGTATATATTTATAAGTAGATAATTAATATATAAGTAGATATAATAATTATATAAATTATATATATGTAGAAAGAATTTGGAGAAGATGAAGAATGAAAATGATTGAATATGAGAGATTGAGAGAATAGAGAATTTAGAGAGTAGGAAGAGTTGTAGAAGAAGAGGTAAAAAATGTATAGAAAATAGGAGTATAAATAGGTTTTTTTGTATTCCCCACCCCCACCCCCCTAACCCCCCAGACCCCCCCTCCTATGCTCCCAACGGCTATAGAGCCGTTAGGGAGGTCTCCCAACGGCTAGTGGAGCCTTCAATTATTTAAAAAAAAAAATAAAAAAAGTGACCGTTGAGGCCCGGACCGGGCCCAGCCGAGCCGGTTCACCAAAATATGAGCCCGGGACCGAACCGCTTGATGACCGGGCCGGGTGGCCCGAACCGTGACCTAACCGCCAAACCGGGCCGAGCCGGGCCCGCACAGTAGCGGGCCGGTCCAGTTCCGGGCCGATTGGTCCGGTTCCGGGCCGGTTGGTCCGGTTCCAGGCCGGTTGGTCCGGTTCCAGGCCGGTTGGCCCGGCCCGAGTCCATTCCTATGTTTAAGTACTACACTTCTACACAAAGGTTGTTCAATACTCAGAAAAGGATTTTTATGAGCTCCAGATGCTTTGATATGAAAAGCTAAGAGATAATATAAATATACAGTCAAACTAAACAGGAGATCCTATTTTAGTGCAGTCTACTGTTTCCGTGTATAACTGACCGAAGCTTTACCTTGGTGAATGGAAGAAGTGAGTGTGTGTATGGTGAGGTACTAGAATTAGGGTGGAAGTGTGGAACCAGTTCGCCGGTCCAGAGCAAGCTGATGCCAGGCCCGGAAACAGTTTCCCGATTGCTGTCCAGGACCGGCCCCTGCCCCATCAGGCTTCATTACCCGGTCTCGGATGTGATTTTTGGGACCGTGATGGGCCAGTCTTGGGCCCGATCTGATCTCAAATGGCTGGACAATTTGAAAACAATAAAAAAATTGATCAAGACCCACCCGACCGATCCGGTCTAGCACCTCCCATATCTGACAGGCCAGTCCTGGGCCTCCCTTTTCTTTGTCAAGGGCTGGCTGATCTCGGTCAAGAACCGGATCAGACCGGGTCCATGCCTTGCTAGAATGTAAGAACTAAGAACATACAAATATATCCCGGTTCGATGATGGTGTGATCCTTTTACTCTAGTCCAACCTTCTTTGAGATAGATTCTCAAATCCTAATGCCCATTTATGCAAAGCACACTCGAGCTAACTTTAGAACTAGAGAATCAACACTTGGAGAAATAAATTGACCTCCTTACTAATTGAGCATATCCATAGCCCTGATACTGCGTGAGTGACTTAAACCCTATACTTTAAGTTTATATACGAAGTATAACTTGCTACTGTCATATGGCCTGATTAATTGCTTTTGTTTTTTATTTTAAGAAATTAGGATGGTTAATGTCGTATGGCCTGATGCCCTGATGGCCTGATGTGTATGGGTAATTTGCTACTGTCAAATGTCAATGTACTGCCATATTATTATGATACTGAGTGTGTATTTTATTTTAATTGATTAAAATATACTAGTAAATACAAATAAAGGAATTTATATCACAAGGACTACTTGATTGGAAATACATGCCCCCTTTTTAAAAATATAAACTCCAATCCCACTATGTGGACTAGAGCTTGAAGAGCTGGCAAGCCCCTTCATCCAAAGCTTCCTTTGCGCCATTCAATAAATGGCGAGGACAAATTTCAGCTTCTGCCTATTTATCTGCTTGGTTGAACCGGTCAATTATGATTCATCACATATGCTGGTTTACATCCTCATGGTTCTTTGCCAGCCAGTAGCACCACAATACCACATAGATCAACAAACCATCAAAAGAGAATGTGTAGATGCGGGTTAAAATGTATACCTACAAAAATGAAAAGTACATGCATTTCTTGGACTCCGTGTCATCTCCTGAAATCAAGTACCCGGAGTTTACTCATCTCCCATTGCTAACTCCAAAGCGTAATCATCCCTTACCTAAAAGGTACCATACATATTTTAGATAAAAAAGTAATTCCCTTTTCCTGAACAACTTTGAGAAAAAACAGTACTGTTTTTTCAAAGATCCTGAATTATTACTTACAATAGGTCCTCGGGCAAAATATCTTCCGAATTGGAGCAAATACACCTGTGCACATCTCATTATCTCATATCTCCAAAATTGAAAAAAAAAAAATACACGACAAGAAACTAGAAAATGGAATAAAACATGAGACCATTATTAAATGAAGATATTTTGAGTTAAATTCCATTAATTAAATGGAATTTAATTAATAAATTCAACTAATACACCATGTTTGTTAACAATGTAATAGGCATAGTGGACTTTGCCTAAGCTTAACCCGGATCGCCCAGCCAACAAATTTTGTACCTATGCTTCGCAACATTGGATGACATTATACAATGCTATTGTCAGAAGCAAAGTCTCTCCTTTTTGGTGTGGGACAACTAGTGAAAGGGAAAAATTATAATTGAATAAAAGATTCAAGCCAGAAGGTTGGGAGCCTAAGTCTTATACTCATATATTGACCTATGCTATCAACTCTCCTACAATACAACTTATGCATGCTTGACTTGGTTGAATTTTATAAAGAAAAATACTCTACAAGACTACAACATTATTAAGCAACGCAAATTGTTTTTTTTTTGAAAGGTTAAGCAACACATTATAATCACTATCTTTAATGTTTTTATTATTACTCGGTATTACTGTATATTACTATTTTTGGTGTTAGTATTATTATTTTATCATTTGATCAACTATTTTTCTCAATTTTGTTTTTTAACAAATAGGTAAATTTACTATATGCAGTAATGTAGGTTTAAAACTTATAGAAGTCTACTTTTTGGAAAATACTCTCAGTCCCAATTTGTAAGATACATTTCCTATTCACTTGGTCAACATAAATCACTCTTAATCTTTTACTTTATATATTAAAAGTTTATGAAATTTGAATTGTTTTTGGTGAGCTTTGTAGCGGTTTTAATCATTTAATGTAGTTTCTGAATATATAAATTTTATTTTTTAAAACTAATTTGAGTCTTGACAGGGATCAATTTGCTTTATCGTCGGTCAAACATCGTAAACCATAAAGTATATTACAAATTGGGACAGAGGAAGTATAAAATTTTGATGTAGTTGTGCGTATTATACTAACTAATGCTACGTACTAGCGTATTACATTTAAACACATATTAATAGCTCTAGTAAGAGTACAATAATAAGTAAAAAATAAAACGCCTTTTCGCACTTAAGCCTTAAGCTTCACTTAAACTCGCCTAGGCTTCCCAGGCTTGAGTCTACGTTGTGCCGCCTCACCACACCTTACGCCTTTTAGAACATTGACTACAGGCTTAAGTGATCAGCTAGATGGCCAATCAATCATTTTAGAGAAAATAGTTATTGGTGGGACCAAAACATAACGCATTCTTCCAAAAATATGACCATATATATGGTTTTCCCAAAATAGAACTAATCATTCCATTTCTACCCCTAATTAATTAAATAATCAACCTCATTAATTACCCCATGTAGTTCTCTTGCATAACCAAATCAGCCCGTTGGTGGTGGGATCAGTCCGTGGTGGCGGTAGCAGACTCCAGCAGCAGCGCAGATCTCCGGCAGCAGCGCAGATCTCTAGCAGCGGCGGCAGAAGACGACAACGGAGAAGGCGGAATTTTTGGCAGATCACCGGAGAATTTCTAGAAAAAAAATCTGGCAGCAGTGGCGACCGCTGTTCTGGCGGCAGGCGGCGACCTGGGGGCAACAGTGCTCATGACTTATGAGGGTATTTTTGTCCAATCATAGATAAAAAGCTCTATTTAAGGTATTTTAAACTAGTTGGTCGGTTGGTCCTGTTTTTGAAAATAAAACTATGTATGTTTTAGTCCTATTAAGGTAAATCTCCTGTCATTTTATATCTGTCACATGACCCCCCACCCAAAAAAACCTAGGAATTGATTACATAATGTTAGGGACCGGGCCTAAAGATACTAAGAATAAAGGACCGGGCCTATTAGAGTATTAATAAGAATAAAGTGTATGAGTTTAGTATAAATAGAAGATAGCAGGGGAGATTTAGTAGGCTGTTTAGACTTTATCATTCTGGGACTTGGGAAGATCGAGAGATATTCTCTTTCTTTTGGGGGGCTTCGGCTCAACTGGGGGCTTCGGCCATTTGTTACGATTACTGTTCTTCTCCTCTAATAAAATTACAGTTAGTTTTCTTGAATCTTCTTCTATAATCTTCTGTATTACTGTACATCCTTATCATTGGTATCAGAGCCTGGTTGTAGTTGTGAATGGTTGGCACGAGGAAGAAAATGGAAGGCAGGATGGCAGAAATGGAACGGAACGTCGAGCAAGGTCAACGGGAATTAGGTGCGAAGATCGATACGAAGTACGAAGAATTGCTGGCAATGATGCAAGCTGGATTTGCCGAGTTGAAAAATCAAAAAACGGATCGATCAAGAAGTAGGTCGCATCGATCATCTGCGTCGCATCGATCATCTGCCTCGCATCACACATCTACATCGCATCACACTTCTCACCATAATCGATCACCTCACCATCATCGTTCGCGACAATTGGCAAGTTCAGAGGGATCGGAAAACAATTCCGACTATTCTCCTCCACGTCGACATCAACACCGCCATCATCACAGGGAACGTCATCCTCATCATACAGGTAGAAAGATTGATTTACCTATTTTTAATGGAGAAGATGCTTCTGGATGGTTGGTTAGAATGAACCGATATTTTCGCTTGAATCAAACTGAAGAGGAACAGAAAATTGATGTCGCTGTAGTGGCCATGGAGGACCAAGCTCTCAGCTGGTTTCAATGGTGGGAGAGACAGGCTACACATCAAAACTGGGACTCTTTTACTCGAGCTTTGACCAAGCGATTTCAACCTGATATGGTACAGGATCCACTAGGGCCTTTGTTTAGCCTGAAGCAGAAGGGGACAATTCAGGAATACCGAAATAAATTTGAAAAGGCTATCGCTTCACAAGGCCACTTAACTGAAGAAGTCTTGAGAGGAGCCTTTCTTAAGGGGTTGAAAAGAGATATAAGAGCAGAATTGAAGTTACATCGAACTAGGACGTTGGCAGAAGTTATGGATACTGCATCCGCGATTGAGAACAAGAATTCTGAAACTTTCTTTGTGAAAAATAAGGATGAAGGAAGGAGGAAATGGCAGACTACTCCTATCATCCAATCTTCAGGCCAGAAATGGGGAGATGAAAGCAAGAAAGAAGGTCCAAGCTGCGTATCTAATGAGGCAAGTCCCAGACTATCCCAAGAAGAACTATTAAACAGAAGCAAGAAAGGACTCTGTTTTAAATGTGGTGAAAATTGGGGAAGAGGACATGTTTGCAAGATGAGGAACTATAAAATGATCCTAGTGGAGAATTCAGAGGGTGAAGCTGATTCTGAAGTTGAATTACTGGAATCTGGCAGGGATAAGACCACTCCTCTAGAATTGAAGACCATGCAGTTTTCTGTGAGTGATGAGATAGACATAACCCCTGTGAAAACATTTAAGGTGACAGGTAAACTGAGATTGCATGAAGGTGAAAACACAGTAAAGGTACTCATTGATGGAGGTGCTACACACAATTTTATGTCACTAAGCTTGGTGGAAAAGTGGAGGATTCCTTATACTCCTTTTCAGGGAAATAGGGTGCAGTTAGGAAATGGAGAATGTATTCAAATATGTGGCAGGTGTGCAGATGTAGATCTGAATGTGCAAGGAATTAGTATTCACCAAACTTATTACTTATTGGAGCTGGGGAGCACGGATTTAGTCTTGGGAATGGACTGGCTAACAAGATTGGGAGACACGGAGATTAACTTCCAAAGTCAGACCTTCAAATGGGAAGTACAAGGGCAGAAGGTGATTTTACAAGGAGATGAATCATCAAGTGAACAGGATGTTGAAGGAAGAAGTGTTCATACTGTTCAAAAGCATGAAGTAGTTGTCCCCTATATTGCAGCAGGCCGCACCTGGGTCTTCCAAAAATCTGCAGGAATCAAAGTTTTGGATCAAATTTTCTGGCCTTTGTGGAACTATGCTATGAATTACATAGAGTGGAAGATGGAAGTAGTAAAGCAAAAGATCCAGAAGACAAATCTGTATTGGAGAGGGAGGGGTGCTAGGATGAAAGAAAAGAAGAAATTGGTGGCTGAGTCCTATCATCCACCTTGAGGGCAAGGTGGATGTTTAAGGGGGGAGTATTGTTAGGGACCGGGCCTAAAGATACTAAGAATAAAGGACCGGGCCTATTAGAGTATTAATAAGAATAAAGTGTATGAGTTTAGTATAAATAGAAGATAGCAGGGGAGATTTAGTAGGCTGTTTAGACTTTATCATTCTGGGACTTGGGAAGATCGAGAGATATTCTCTTTCTTTTGGGGGGCTTCGGCTCAACTGGGGGCTTCGGCCATTTGTTACGATTACTGTTCTTCTCCTCTAATAAAATTGCAGTTAGTTTTCTTGAGCTGTGATTCCCCAAAAAAAATGCGCATACAAAAGCTGCGATTCTTCTCCCTGGAGCTGTGACTGGTACTACTACGACCTGCGAGGCTGGGACTGCTACTGGGGAGGACCTGCGAGGCTGCGACTGCTACTGCGGAAGACCTGCGATTGCTAAAGGGCTGCTGCGAGGACCTGCAGGTTAGTTCTTTCCCTCATTCTTCCCTCTTGTTAAAGAATTAAATTGAGATTATTCCCCTCCCCGTTGACCCTGTCTCGTTTCTTATTCTGCCCAGCCCCCTTCTGTCCTTCATGATAGATACACACTCACAATTTTGTTTTTCATTTACAGTCATGAACTCTGCTCAGTCTGGCCAGGCCTCTAATGGTGTTGAATCTACTGCTACTACACTTAAGAGAAAATCTGATGATATAGGATGGACATGGGGAGAGAACAGAGATGCTACTAAAAATCTTTAGTGTGGTGTTTTTTTGGTGAAAGTGGAAGAGGAAGAACAAGTGGGGAATCTGACTACTGAAGATCTATTTGGAGAAGATCTATTTGGGGACATGGAGGATGAAGACGAAAATCACGACCTTGAACCCAATGAAGATTAATATCAGACCAACTTATTAGATGATTGACTGTTTTATCACTTTAGCTTTATGACATTTGCTACTCCATCATTAGGATAATGGGATTTCTATCCTTTTATTCACTTTTATGCATTTTAAGACAATTTAAAGACAATTTTATTACTATATATTAAGACTACTATACTTAAATATATTATTATATTTAATTAATACTAGGCCGAGTACTCACCGAGTAATCCCGAGTAATCGGTCCTACTCGCTACTCGGCCCTTGACCGAGTTGCTACCGAGTAGCGAGTAAACTACTTAGCTTGCTACAACAATAACAAATTCCGAGTGGTGATATATCCCCCACCACTCTTGTGAATTAACCAAATAAGCTTTAATGGCCTAAACACAAGAAATTACTTCGAGTCTTTGAGAATTGGATACCTCATCTTCGTCCTGTGTTTCAACTTCAAGGTCAGTTGACGGAAAACCCACGCATAGGAGTGCATATCCCTACAACTCAAAAAATATATACATATTAAATAATTAGTAATACGGTTGAAAAAAACAGGTAAAAGGAAATAAAAGTGTGTGGTTATATATATTAATTATTAAATTAAATTTTCAGTCATTGGCGGATCCAGGAAAAAAGTTTATTGGGGGCAAATGGAGTAAGTAAAAACATTTATGGAGAATAAAAGTTAGTAAAGTACTATGGTACACGATATTATAAGAATAACAATTTTTTTTTATAAAAGACATCACAATTTTGATTTTTTGGAAGAAAATCATTAAGTATTATTTGAGATACTTTTTCATAAAATATTACTCAAATATAATTGATGAACAAAAAAGTAATTAAAGTAATTACTATGTGCATCACTTCATGACCAATAAAATGTAAAATTGATCATAAACATAATCATTGAAAGTTACTACCTTAGTCACGCTATACAAGAAGTCACATTTTCTAATCATTTTTATTTTAGTCATATACTTCTATATCTTATTTTTTGTTTTAACTATCTACAAGAATATGATACCTCCATCCAAATTCCCAAAATACTTAGTCATCTCTTCCATTTTGGACATGATTTTGATTAGTAAAAATGTAATATCGTATAATTCTAGGGAAGTCATAAGTTTAATACTTTTATGAAAGTACTTTTAACAAAAGAAAATTTTCATATCACTTTTATACGAAGTATTATAAACAATTTTTAATAAAAATATAAAGTTAGTCAAAGTTTTAAAGTTGACTATTTTTTGGAAATTACTAGTCATCAATTTGAGTACATGAATAATGAACTCAAATTTACATTAATAGCAATAAAAAATCTGGCAAAGCTGAAACTTTGAGTATATAGTAACATGATATTAGTTCATCGAGTTGCATGCCACCATTAACTATAAATTAACATGGAGTAACATTATAACAACATCATTTATATATTTTACATAAAAACAAATATTAGACATTAAACAACATGTAAGTGAGGGTTAATGCGTAGCGTGAAATCATACTTTCACATTCAGCCATATTTTTAATGGGGAGAAGGGAATAGGGGGCAACCATACTTTTTAATTGGGGGCAAATACTTGGTCTTTTAATAATTTATCACAAAATACATGGGATTAGTGGGAGTTTGTTGGGGGCAGCTGCCCCCTTCCTCTCTTACTGTATCCGCCCCTGTTTTCAGTAATAGTGTAATACAGGTTGAAGAAAACAGGGAGAATAGGACATAGAAGTCGTTTATGTTGGTGATGGAGGAAGCATGTTAAGCAGCCTCAGTAGGGTAAGATATGAGATCAAAAAGTTCAAGCAGTTCAAGCAGAAAGAGATGAACACTCAAATAATCAATGGAGCCACAGAAAATATTCAACATAAGACAGAAAAAATCCAATATCCCTTTTATATCAGGGAATCGAAGTCACTCCCTATAAAGTAAAAGCTATACAAGTAGGTGGACCAACTCATCAACTTCCCGATTAAAGAAGATCTACTTCTGATAGGGCCCTGGGCTGTAGAGAATAATAATAATAGTAGTAATAGATTGATATTAAATAAGTGTGGTATTGTATAAATAAAGATTTTGGTCCATGTCATAAAATATGGGCTGGCCCATTTAGGAGATGAGTATATTAAGAGCAGAAAGGGGAAAAAGAGGGGTAGGCAGAAAGGGGGAAAAGAGGGGTAGGCAGAAATTGGATCTCAAATTAGGCCTTGGGAGTGCGAGACGACTCGAACTGTCTCAAACCTTTCTTCTCTTCTATTTTCAGTTTTCTGCTACTGTACGTGGGTTTACTGTTATGCGCCATTGTACTGGGAGGATCGGTTCCTCAGATTTTATCAATTGAACACTAAATTTCTGCTGCTTTGTTGAGGTACCTAATATTGGTATCAGAGCATCGACGATCGCTGGAGTAGAGGACTGTTACTCGTGCGCAGATGGAGTATAACACAGGAAGTGTCGAATGCCATGTCACGAAGATGGAAACGATGCTGGACGAGATGATAAACCATCTGCGTAAACAGCCCAAATTTTATGACATGGCCCATATTATTCTCTACAGCCCAGCTCATTGCCCCAGATTTTATCAATTGAACACAAAATTTCCGTCACTAGCACATCAACGATCGCTGAAATAGGGAAGGATTTCTACTCACGGCGAATTGAAAATAATATGGAGAATATCGATCGCAAGTTCACGGAGATGCGAACGATGTTAGTCCAGATGCACGAACGTTCGCTTAAACAGCGTCGCAGGAGACCTAGAGGCCGAGCGAGGAGTCCTGTACGTCGTCGGCCATCTGAAAGCCCATGCTCGTCGTGGTCGCAATCAGTTTTCTCCAGTTCGCCATCGCTAGCCGCTTCGCACCAATCGCCATCACTAGCAGCTCCTCATGGTTTGTCGTCGCTAGTTGCTCCTCAGAGTTTGTCATCTCTAGCCGCTGCTCATAGTTCGCAGGCGTCGTCATTATCAGCTTCTTCCGGTTCGCAAACCAATCTCCTTGGCTCGCAGCTTTCATCTCAGGTTTCCGAGAATCACAGTGCTCAAGTTTCCTTGCCAGGGACTGCATCACTGCAAATGAACTCTGAGTTGAAGCCGGCTGAACCATCCATCAAGGAACCAGATCCAGATGATGATCCAAATCATCATGAAGTTCGAAACTCGCTGAGGTGGATGAAAATGGAATTCGTGCGGGTAAAGTCAAGGATCAACTGTCAAGGAAACTGGAGGAGCAGGGAACAGTCACAGATAAAACTCAGGGAAGGAGGATTCAAGCACTGGCGTGGAAATCAGATCATGCTGTGATGACTGCTGGGCCTGATGTCTTTGTCTCTCCAACTGGGCTCAATCCTTTAATGTATCAATCAGTCCTTTCTAGCCGGAACAGGAACTGGTGCATTCTCACTTGCGACTGTTTCTCTGAAGCAGGGGCAAGCTGCTCCTGGAGTTACTAATGGTGCAGGTTCTAAGGAGCTGATTGCCAGTATGCCACTATTAGAATTGCATACTGATGAAGAAAAGAAAGCAGTACTTGCTGCTGGTTATGAAACCATTACATCTATCCTGCCTTTTGACCCTATTCAACAGCTTTTAGCTATTGGAAGCACAGATGGTAGGCTGAAAGTCGTTGGAGGGAAAAATATTGAAAGCCTTATGGTCTGGGAGCTGGAGAAAAACACTCGTCTTCCATATTAAAAGGGGTGTCAGACATACCCACATTCTCTGCTATCTATGGCATTCATTACACGTTTATGGAGACGAAAGATGATGATATTCAACCCACAGGACGCCCACCAGATAATCCGGAAGGCGCAGGAAATGTTGAGGCCGATGCCAGCTCACTTTCAAAGGCTGCTTTGCTCAAAGAGACAGTTGCTGAAGCTGCACAGGGCCTAAGCTAGGTATTGATGAAGGCTGTATTCAACAAAGTGACATATGTATTGGTTGGTGTCAGTGTGTTAGTTGTTGATCTGATAATTGCAGATCTTAAAACTTCAGATAGAACTGTATTATCAACTGATATTGATTCAGCCAGTATGATTCCAAGTCTATTACGCAGGGATTGTGAGAGGGGAAGATTGTGTGGGGTAGCAAAAGCCATTGCTCTTACTGGACAGGTTTCCTTTGAAGATGAACACACTGCATCTATTGAGCTTGATATTATGCATAAATCGGCTATAGCCTTCGGGAATGTTACTGGAATTGGTGAAGGTTGTTTGGGAGGCAATTGGCAGGTTAGTGCTGAAGCAAGGCATACAGCTCTTGCATCCTCTACAACATTATTTGGTTCTGCTGGTGATGATTCAACCGGTAGGGACCTGGATATTGGTCAGGATTCAATCCTACCATTGCTAGTTCAGTCAAATGAGCATTCAGAGCCTTGTACGTTGAGAAATGCTACAGGTACTTTGTCAAGCTTCTGGCAAGGCAAGCCACCACCACCATTTGCCCGGATCAACGCTGTATTGCCAGTCCTTCAGCCATTCATCCATATGGAAGACGAAGAAGTTTGGACTGAAGTTGCAAGGCAAGCCACCAACACCATTTGCCCGGATCAACGCTGTATTGCCAGTCCTTCAGCCATTCATCCATATGGAAGAGGAAGAAGTTTGGACTGAAGTTTGCTGGACAATATTTGATATCACTTCTGGGAGTAGAGATCATATAAGGCAATTATTGAGACATATATCATTATTCATTTGGTACACCTCCTTCAAAATGTAGAAGTTGACAACTTGACATCAAGAAAGAAGCTCAAGGGGCTATCTCTAAAGCGACATCGGGAGGCTCTCATGATCAGATTAGATGCTTTGCAAGTAAGGGCTGCATTAAGATGCTCTGTGATCTCCTGTTCTGTAAAGATCCAAGAATTGTTACTATATGCATTGAAGGGCTGGAGAACATTCTGAAAGTAGGCAAAGGGGACAAAGAAATTGGATTGAATAGTGGGGTCAAGTTATATGCGCAGATGGTTGACGATTATGAAGGACTAGACAAGACTTCTAATTTCCAGATTCAGGACAACAATGAGGTCTATGAAAAGGCTGTGAAGACCTTAGAGAAATGCTGGTCTGAGGAAGTGAGGATGAAGGATCAAATGCTGAAGCTAAAGATACAGAAATTAACGATGTATTGGGAAGGGAGGGGCACAAGAATGAAGTTGAATGGCATGGCTGTTTCGTACTCCCCACCTTGAGGACAAGGTGGTTCTCGAAGGGGGGAGTGATGATACGGACCTGAGCATATGGCGAGGGAATTGATAAAAATAATATTGAATATTTTAATGAGCTGTAATAAGGAAGTGGGCTGGGCCATGTTATTAGTAAGATTGAGGGGAAGCCTCATTGGAAAAGAATAAATAGAAGAAATAGAATAGGGAGAGAGTAGTCTGGATTTGAGTAAGAATTGGGATCTGGGAGAGTTGAGGCCTCTCGAAGCGCCTTGTCTGTATCTTCTTTACGCTTTACCTCAATAATAGCAATCAATTTACTGTCACAAAATTAGGGTCGTAACATCTTCTGAAGTCCGGAGAGGTTCCTTCAGGAAGTTGTTCCAGAAGAAGAAGCAGGCAAAGCAGGATTAATATCAATCTCCATCGTGTGTGTGTGTGTAATTAAAAAGAATGAACATCAAAGTGAGAAAATGAAAAAGAAGAAGAAAGAAGAAACGGGGAGAGAAGGATAAAACATGGGTGATCTGGCTGGACGAAACATTAGATGTTCGGATGAAGGTTAGGAGTAACCAGATCTGGACCAAGAGAAAAAAAGAAAAAGAAAATATAAAAAAAAAACGCATGGATGGCCACGTGTGCAATTAACCGTGTGGATCGCCACGTGTGCAAAATAACTAGGTAACCGGTTGTCTACCTGGTAAAAGTGTGATTTGAACGTTTTTTAAAAGTTGGGATGCTTGATTGGGTGATTTTTAGTATGAGGGTCTAGTACACTTTTTTAAGATAGTATGGGGCCAATTTGACAGTTTTCTCTTTGCTTTTTTAATCCATATTTGTTTTTTAATTATATGGATGAAGCAGCAATCGGTACATGCAATTTTCGACGCGATTGTCATCACGGGTCATCCAGAAACAGTCTCTGTGACGGGGACATCCGACCCCCCCCCCATCTTACCCCACCGTAAGCCCCCACCGTAGGTCGGAGCCTTTGTGGCACTGGGTAATGTTGTTGTTTTTGTTGATGTGTTTTTTAATTATATGTTTTATTAAAGATGGGCTGACAGGTGAATTGAAGGAAATAATTTGTATAATGTGACATTGTGACTCGAATGTGTCATTCACTTATAACTAAAGTTATATGCATTGTTATGTATTGGGTTGGATTGCGGAGATAGAATAAGGTGAGTCATGATCTGTCTTTGGACGGAGGGAGAAAGGACAAGGACTACACTATTTGATCGGAAAGGAAAAAAGGAAAAAAAAAATTCTTCACGTAATGGAGCATGCGATTTAAGCTATTATGAGTGATAAGTAATTTAAAAGGTACAGGGATATTGTTGTCAATTCAAGTAAAGAAACATTTATTAATAACACTTCATGTTCTTAACTCTAGCCATTTAAGTTTATATCTTACACTTACTTCCTTACTCATTCCTCGTGTAGTCAAAAGCGAATGCCTGGTACGCTCACCCGGCGAGGCGCATACGAGGGTCAGCGCCTATTAGAGTCTCAAGTGCAGCCACATGAGTGATACGTGAGGCGCGATAAGTGCAGAAGCGCATAAGTATTGAAAAGCGCACGCTGAAGTCGCTTAGGAAAGGCTTATCAACCTACTTTTCTGTTTGATCCTACTTCGAATAATAAGCCCATATTTGTAATACTAAGGTTTAGCCCATCCAAATAATAGGTCAAAACAAATTAGGATGTTTGCTTGGGCTGTAATTTACTAGTATGGTCTGGTTTGGTTTGTTTAAGTCTGGTCTGATCTGTTTAAGTCTGGTCTGGTCTAGTCTGGTCTCTGTGTATTTTATAACTATGGAAGTCAAGTCTGGTCTGGTCTATTTAAGTCTGGTCTGGTCTATTTAAGTCTGTTCTGGGACTGAAAACAGTCCAAGTAAAAACATCCTTAAACCCATTAAATCCTAGTTAGTCACAGACTCACTGCAAGAGTCCTCTGTCGTGACTTCATCATGATTCATGACTCTCCTATGCTCTATGCTCTACTCGCGCAAGCTGCTCAGTTCTGAAACCACATTCAACGATCAACCAATAGAATCTAGAAACCCAAACGGTGTCTTCTTCCTCTTCGTCTTCCCATGTTCTTTCTTCTTTCTTTTTCAGCTTCTAGTTTTCCCAATCCCGTTCCCGTCACTTCTAGTGCTCGGTCCTCCACTCTGTCTCTATACTCCTCAAACCCTAACCTTGATTAGTCGATTCTCTTTGAATTCCTCTGTAGTCCAGCCTCGCAGGCAGCAGGTACTACCTCCAGAGTCCAATTCGTCCGACCCTGGCAGGTAGGCCCTCAACTTTATTTTTTTATTTATTTCTGAATCCAATTTAGTGAGGTACTGACTATTTCACCCATTGTATTTGTGTAATAATATACCTAGAATTCTAGAAATGTTTACAATTTGTTATTCTTGTATTTGTATTTAGAAAATGTGATATAGTGATATGTAGTAGGTTTTAATGTGGCATTCACCGATTTACCCATTGTATTTGTATAATTGTACAATTTGTATATATCTAAAATTGTGATTTTCATTTTCATTTACCCCAGTGCCGCAAAGGCTCCCACCTACGGTGGGGTAAGGGGGGGTCGGATGTACGCAGTCTTACCCCTGTACTAAAGCACAGAGAGACTGTTTCCGGATGACCCATAGTGAAAATCCCGTCCAAAATTGCATGGACTGACTGCTGCTTCATGACAAAGAAGCGCAAACAGTTTAGTGAGCCATTTTGCTTTATTCCATCATAATCTCAAGCCAAAAAATAATGAATCTTTGGCTCCATTGCAAATGATGGAAAGATATATCTAAAATTGTGATGAATAAATGAAATCTACATGGCCGCTGACATGTGTGTTAACGTATGTATTCCTCCTATGACATATTAGCTAATAAAATATGTTTTCTTTAGGTTTAGTTAAAAGAATACACAAATTACCTTTATTTATGTTTATTTATATATTTTAAAATTAAATTGATACACAAATAAGGAGTAAAAATGTCACTGAAGGAGAGAGTAACTAATAAAAATGAGAACGATATAAGATATAATATTAGATAGTACAAATATTAGGCTGAGTTCAATATTCGAAATATTATTTGTATGTATTTATTTAATACATATTAGATAGTATTAATTTATGTATTTATTTGTATGTATAAATATAATAATAATAATAATTTTGAAAATATAAATCTTATTTTTAGCTCGAGAACTAGCATGTTATTAGGCTGAGTTCAACTCGAGTTCGAACCAAACTCGAGCCAAAATTATTAGGCTCGTTCGAGCTCATGCCTATGTTCAAGCTCGAATTGGCTTGGCTTGTTTGCAGACCTACTCATGCCTAGAGTTCCTATTACTACCATTACTAACACCCTTCAACACTCCATCCAAACACGGCATTAATGATATAATGAACGGTGGTGGTGGTTGAGAATGAAGCATGATAAGCAGCCTCAGTAGGGTAAGATGTGAGATTCGAAAGTTCCAGCATTTCAGGCAGCAAGAGATGAACAATACCTTTTTTTCAGTTCATTTGAAATCCCCAAAGCTTCTGGCTGTCTTATTTTCCCTGATTTTACACGAACAGCACAGCTAGTACAACATCCTTCAGGATATAAGATAATTAACTTGGATATAGGAATCTCCATGATATGGAGAAAGGTAAGCCAGAAAATAGGGAAATAAAGAGTATCAAGAACTTAAAGATCAACAAGAGCTCTATGTCCCCCAAGACAACTCATGCAAGAAGAATGAAATCCGAAGTAAAAATTTCCAATTTTAAGCACCATTTTTGAAAATTTGCTTTATCAATCCCTCAAGATCCAAGCCCATAAATTAATCCTGAGAGCCAGAATACCACTACCATTCACTTAATAGAAACTAACAATTATGTCTCCACACCAAAATCATACTATTATGAATGTGCATTCACTTTAGGGATAATGTGTTCTAACTTGAAAATAATACTACTTTCTGTCCCATTTGAAAATAGCACACTTTCTGTGGCAATAGTTGAATAAAGTAATTTTAATATAGGTTGAGAAGTAATTTAAATGATTATATGAGTGTATTGGTGATAATGATGTTTGTTATGGGTCTATTAATTTTAATATGTAATGATAAAGTTGTCATTTAAGAGAGTTAAACATTTCCTAAAGTGGAAATATGAACCTTGATATGGGACGTCCAAAAAAGACATGTGAAAACCTTGAAACGGGACGGAAGGAGTACAAGATTGTAGATACCACCACGGCTTATATGGGTCTATTTCAAATTTTCAATTGAAGATTTGTGTTTTGAAAAGAAATGTAGTCATCAAATCAGGAAGGTATATATATTTATCAAAAGTGTTGTGAAGGAAAGAAACTAAGTCTGTAATTTACTGGTATGGTCTGGTTTGGTTTGTTTAAGTCTGGTCTGGTCTATTTAAGTCTGGTCTGGTCTAGTCTGGTCTCTGTGTATTTTATAACTATGGAAGTCAAGTCTGGTCTGGTCTGTTTAAGTCTGGTCTGGTCTATTTAAGTCTGTTCTGGGACTGAAAACAGTCCAAGTAAAAACCATAGATACATAAATCGCTCAACCACCCGCGAACTGCGTTCCAAACGCCGCGTACCCAAACGCGGTACGAAAGCGTTCCAAACGCTACTCGGATCGCTCTGTAAAACGCTGCTGCAGTCGTTTGCGATAGCATTCCAAGTCGTTCCCCATCGCTAGCCAGGTCATTCCTAAACGCAACTGGAGTCGCGCTAAATCGCGAATCCCCAGCCCTACCAATCGCGAACAGTCTCATCGTTTCCCCAGCCCGCAATTTCAAACTAAACTGAATCGTCGTTTGATTTCAAATGAAACGCACAGGTGATAAAAGTTCTCGCTTCGTTTCAGGCGCCTGAAGTAATAGGCGTTTGGTTTTGGAACCAGCGTTCCAGCTCTTCGTTTTCTGGCCCCAATTATTCCTACTCATCAATTTTACATTCTAATTAACTGTTATAAATTGCTCTATTGTTCATAGTTTCATACGCAGTCTTCTTCTACTCTACTGTACTCTACTCTCTCCTTACCTGTTTTTGCACTTTTGAGTTTTGTAGTATGTGTTTCTGTTTTCCTTGAAGTGTTTCTTGAATATTAATGTTTTTGCTTTTGTTTAATGTTATGAAAAATCATGTTATGAAATCTGTTTTTGTTCAATGTTGAAATCTGTATTCTATAATTAAGTTTTATATTTTTATTATAGTACCATAATATTAGGTACAACGTACCGTACACATGGTACATCGTACCGAACGCGTACCGAAATGAACCTACTCCCTCCGAATCGGATACGCTAGATCTAGCGAACCGCGTTCCCGTTCCTCGTTCCCGTATCGAACCGTACCGCGAACCATGTGACTATGGTAAAAACATCCTTAAACCCATTAAATCCTAGTTAGTCACAAACTCACTGCAAGAGTCCTCTGTCGTGACTTCATCATGACTCTCCTATGCTCTATGCTCTACTCGCGCAACCTGCTCAGTTCTGAAACCACATTCAACGATCAACCAATAGAATCTAGAAACCCAAAAGGTGTCGTCTTCCTCTTCATCTTCCCATGTTCTTTCTTCTTTCTTTTTCAGCTTCTAGTTTTCCCAATCTTGTTCCCATCACTTCTAGTGCTCGGTCCTCCACTCCGTCTCTATACTCCTCAAACCCTAACCTTGATTAGTCGATTCTCTTTGAATTCCTCTGCAGTCCAGCCTCGCAGGCAGCAGGTACTACCTCCAGAGTCCAATTCGACCGGCCCTGGCAGGTAGGCGCTCAACTTTATTTTTTTATTTTTTTCTGAATCCAATTTAGTGAGGTATTGACTATTTCACCCATTGTATTTGTGTAATAATATACCTAGAATTCTAGAAATGTTTACAATTTGTTATTCTTGTATTTGTATTTAGAAAATGTGATATAGTGATATGTAGTAGGTTTTAATATGGCATTCACCGATTTACCCATTGTATTTGTATAATTGTACAATTTGTATATATCTAAAATTGTGATGAATAAATGAAATCTACATAGCCGCTGACATGTGTGTTAACGTATGTATTCCTCCTTTGACATATTAGCTAATAAAATATGTTTTCTTTAGGTTTAGTTAAAAGAATACACAAATTACCTTTATTTATTTATGTTCATTTATATATTTTAAAATTTAATTGATAGACAAATAAGGAGTAAAAATGTCACTGCAGGAGAGAGTAACTAATAAAAATGAGAACGATATAAGATATAATATTAGATAGTACAAATATTAGGCTGAGTTCAATATTAGAAATGTTATTTGTATGTATTTATTTAATACATATTAGATAGTATTTATTTATGTATTTATTTGTATGTATAAATATAATAATAATAATTTTGAAAATATAAATCTTATTTTTAGCTCGAGAATTAGCATGTTATTAGGCTGAGTTCAACTCGAGTTCGAACCAAACTCGAGCCAAAATTATTAGGCTCGTTCGAGCTCATGCCTATGTTCAAGCTCGGATTGGCTTGGCTTGTTTGCAGCCCTACTCATGCCTAGAGTTCCTAACACTACCATTACTAAGACCCTTCAACACTCCATCCAAACACAGCATTAATGATATAAAGAACGGTGGTGGTGGTTGAGAATGAAGCATGATAAGCAGCCTCAGTAGGGTAAGATATGAGATTCGAAAGTTCCAGCATTTCAGGCAGCAAGAGATGAACAATACCTTTTTTTTCAGTTCATTTGAAATCCCCAAAGCTTCTGGCTGTCTTATTTTCCCTGATTTTACACGAACAGCACAGCTAGTACAACAGCCTTCAGGATATAAGATAATTAACTTAGATATAGGAATCTCCATAATATGGAGAAAGGTAAGCCAGAAAATAGGGAAATAAAGAGTATCAAGAACTTATAGATCAACAAGAGCTCTATGTCCCCCAAGACAACTCATGCAAGAAGAATGAAATCCGAAGTAAAAATTCCAATTTTAAGCACCATTTTGAAAATTTGCTTTATCAATCCCTCAAGATCCAAGCCCATAAATTAATCCTGAGAGCCAGAATACCACTGCCATTCACTTAATAGAAACTAACAATTATGTCTCCACACCAAAATCATACTATTATGAATGTGCATTCACTTTAGGGATAATGTGTTCTAACTTGAAAATAATACTACTTCTGTCCCATTTGAAAATAGCACACTTTCTGTGGCAATAGTTGAATAAAGCAATTTTAATATAGGTTGAGAAGTAATTTAAATGATTATATGAGTGTATTGGTGATAATGATGTTTGTTATGAGTCTATTAATTTTAATATGTGATGATAAAGTTGTCATTTAAGAGAGTTAAACATTTCCTAAAGTGGAAATATGAACCTTGATATGGGACGTCCAAAAAAGACATGTGAAAACCTTGAAACGGGACGGAAGGAGTACAAGATTGTAGATACCACCACGGCATATATGGGTCTATTTCAAATTTTCAATTGAAGATTTGTGTTTTGAAAAGAAATGTAGTCATCAAATCAGGAAGGTATATATATTTATCAAAAGTGTTGTGAGGGAAAGAAACTAAGAAAGATTGTGTGAAAGGTTCACGCAATCTACATACGTTATTCAACCACACAACAATTTTAATAAATATATCTACCTTCCTGATTTGATGATAAAATCTTCATTTGGAATAGACCCATCAGGACCCTTTATAACATCACTGGTATATGAGCAATGCGTAGAGAATGATCAGATTGTAATTTCATCATATTGGACATCATTCTGATAAACAGATGACACATTGATCATTTTACTCTCTAGTCTCTACAAATTCAAGAAGTCAGAACTGTTTTGTGGATTTGATGAACTTTTTTACTCAAATTACAACTTGCATTAGAGACCAGAATCCAAATTTAGAGCCTGTTTGGTAACGTATATTTTCAGCTGATCAGACTTATCGTCTAACTTTTTTACCAAACACGTAACTTTTTATTTCATATCAAAAGATTGAGGTTACTTTTAAACTGAATTTTCTGAAATTTACTATTTCAGCTATTTTCATATCATTTTACTTTTTATTAATAATGTATATTTTAAATATACTTTTTTTCTTGAATACTAGGCCGGTTCAGTCAATTTTAGTGTTACCAAACGTGCTTTAGATTACAAAGTACTTCGCACATTAACCACAAGTCGAGACTGAATATTGTTTGTTATCTTGTTTTTGTTTTCTTTTATAAAAAATGAGAGGTACATAAAGTCAGCCTTGGAAGCCTCAAATGCATAGAACATCAGTGAAAGGCTATTTTCTTGACTATGGCAGACAGGCTATTCTACTATCTCATTATCTCCTCCTAAAGTGCTCAAGTAATTATTGTGCAGAAGAAAAAACAACAACAACAAAATTTAATCGTGTGTCAATTTGATATCTTGCACATCATATGTAATCAATAATTAGCATATTACGAACTGAGAGTGGAAGCTTGATTGATTGTCGAGCCAATACCATGCCTGCAAGCAAAGGGTAGCCTTATGTTCTGAGCCTCGGCCGCGTGCAATATGTATTGATCCTGCATTTATGTTGATCCATGTCATTGCAATTTGTATCATATCATTTTATCTCTCTTTTTCCAATTGCACGCAGAAAACAGTATGGTTATGAAAGAATTCATACCTCGGGGACGAAAAACTCATGAACAGCGCCGCTTTGGCGATCGTGAACGGTGACTTTGTGGGTTGGAATGTTCGGAATTGAATTGCTGGTACCGTTTTGAGCAGCGACGGCGTCCGGTGCTTGCAGCTCAAAAGTCGTTTTGCGGCTGCATTTAGTGGAGTTTAGAGTGAAGTTTAGCGGCGCGTGAAATGTAGCTCGCCGGTGAAGCGGGTAGCAAGCGTTGCAAGGAGCTAGAAGATCCATTTATCTACAGGGTTCCAATTTACTCACAAATACCTCGAATGAGCGGTGTGGGGGCAGCCATTTTATTTCAAGATTATAAGAACCCTTTAGACCGGGTGGGCAAACGGGTCCATGACCCGCGGTTCGGGTCGGGTAATACCGAATCGGGTCGGGTTGTATTTTTAAAAAATCATAACGGGGCGGGCTGGGGTGGGGCTTCTTAATTTTCGGGTCCGGGTGGTTCCTATATTTCTGAAAAACGGGTACCTGCCCCGGAACGGGTTTTTTTAAATAAAAATCATATTTTTATATATCTAATTAATATACTAAATATATGTGGAAGGGGACGTGTTGCGTCGGCGCAATCCCAAGATCCCTGAACAGAGAAAGGTGGAAGGGGTGCAGAGGGAAGAGGAAACCGGCAAGAACAGGGTCCAAATGGACGACCACATGATCGGGCAAATGCAGCATGGGATGTCGGATGCACCGAGCGTCCCAACCCCGTGGGGGAGGGAGCAATTGGGGAATCAAACTCTTCTCCCGCGGAAGCAAATGCTAATGCCGAACGTTTTCGAAGTTGAGAGAATAACGGTGAGGCTGAGGCGGCATCCCATGTTTGTACACCGCAAGGTCATCGTCGGAGAAGCAGTCATCTTCAGGCGGACCGTCAGAACGCTTACGGGACACCGAAGAGGGAACGGCGGAAGACATGGCAACGAACTGAACGAAAAGCAAGAACTTACAAAGAAAGGCTATAGAGAGAAAGCGACTCGATAGAATAACAGCCCAAAGAAGAAATAAACAGCTAGAATCTGAAAATTTGGGCTACTTATAGGCGACACCGCAGGGCACTACCAATCAGCTCAAGCCACGTGTCATGACCTGACTCGAGGGCCCCGCGGTCTGTCGCTTTGATTCTGGCGCCCACCACCTGGGAAATAATGCAACACCGTGACGACGCACGTCCCCAGGACGGATCTAATTCTAAGAATTCGCAGAACAGAACATGATGTCGTTTCCGGGAAAAAAGGAGGTACACGAGGACGGATTTAAGTACTTGGCCTCACAAACCAGGGAGCAAGCATACCCGCAAGCCTAAGGGGAAATACGCCCGGCACGTCAGGGTACAGCGTCGTTCGTCGCCATAATTCGCAAAGGGGATTATGGAGCCTACACTGAAGGACGCCTCCCTAACCTTAGTCATATCAGCAAAAATGGATCAAAGGAAAAGACAGTAAAGCACAAGGGTGGGCAAAAATTGAGGTTTATTCTTTGGCGCTACCGGCCGGAATACTACAAGCAAAAACATACAATTATACAAAGGGAACAAAAACAAGGGGGACGATCAAGGGAGGAATCCATGAGACGGAGATCGGTCCACAGGCACGGCATCGGCCTCCTTGTCCTCGGACTCCAACTCAAGAGTAGGGGGCTAAGGAACCTCACCCCTCGCGACGGCATCCGTGTGTCTCTGGTCCCTCTCTAGCTTCTCCAGGGCCGCCTTGAGCAGTTGATCGTCCGTTTGACTTATCAGGTCGGGAGCCGGACCGCTGAACCGAAGGAGGTGGGACATTAGAGACTTCACGCCAAGCTTGTAGCCCTTGTCAAAGGCATCATCACTCGCTTCAAGGAGGAAATCCTTACAGACCGCCTTCTTCTCCAAAAGATGCAACCCGTGAGCCAGGCACGCCTTGGGCTTCACGGACTTCAGCTCGTCTTCAAGGACCTCTGTAATAGTTATAGGTTGCCTTCATGAAGAGGGGCGTCTTCGCGAACTCCGTGAACTCAAGCTTCAACGGAAGGACCTCCTCTAGAGCGGCTCCATCCTCAGTAGCCGAGGGGGATGCGGGCACCACGGCAAGGCCATGTTTCTCCACCACTCCTAGCTTGGTTAGGAGTTCAGCCTTCTCCTTCTTCTCCACATCAAGAGCGGCATGGAGCGCTGCCTTCTCATCTTCCAGGGCTTTAATCTTATTTTGGGCGGCCTTCCGGGACTGCTTAAGGTCATCATCAGCCTGTCCTTTCACCGCAAGGAAATCCCGCTCCCTCGCTGCCTCAGACTGCAGCATGCTAAGCTCCGCCTGGAAAAAACGGAAAGGTTAGACGGGGAACGGCCAAATAGGTTGAGAAACCATCAGCAGAAAGAGAATAAACTCGGATACCTGCAGAGTAAACGCGAGGGCTTGACTGACGGAATCCGCCGAAGAACGGCGAGGCAACTTTACTCCCGATTGGAGGGCAAATTCCCTCTAAAGTTCCTCTGCCGGTCGGCTGAGTAGGGGCGACTCGGCACCAACGGCTTTGGGCACCGGATGGTCAGGATGCTTTCTCTTAAGCTTTTTGTCCTTGGCTTGCTGGGAGGGGGCGATGGACAGCGGTTCCGCATCTTGTGCGATGCCAGAATCAGCAACATGAGCCTCTGAGTTCTGCCCCATGACAACCCGGATCGGCCGCAGCTCAGCCTCCTCGGTCCGTTTGTCGGCTTGTGAGGCAACCGAGGAATCGGCCTCGGAAGAGGGGGCAGCCCGGGCTTTATCCTAGGCCTTCTTGAGCTTGGCCTGTTTAGCCACACGTTTGGCAATAAGTGCATCATGTTTCATTTGAGCTTCGGTGGGAGGAAGACATGAAACAAACACAAAGGAAATTAGTACTGGGCGGCGTGAGCCTCAAGGACACGTACCTCAGGAACGGGACCGCCCGGGGCCACAGGGTGATCTTAGTGAATCCACTCAAGAGACACGGGCAGTACCTATTCCTGCGTCAGAAAGTGCTTTAAAGGTCAAGTATTTCCCCAAGGGCTCAGAATCGCCCGTCTTCAACTGCTTCACGCTGGCCTCCAGGTCTGCTGTAAGTTCTGGGAACCTATTTTGGGAGGATACCCGTTCCACCGAACGGGGAGCTGGCCTTCCGGACGGCGCAGCAAAAAGAAGCGATTATTCCAATCATGGATGGAGGTCGAAGCCCCGTCAAACAACTTCCTCTGAGGACGTGCGGCCACACTAACAAAGCCGTCCGCATTCTGAGGAATGACCGGGAAAAAATAGTGGAACAGGGGAAGGTCCGGAACCAAGTCCCTAGCAAAACACCGGCTTATGAATGCGGAGATCAACCGGTATGAATTCGGCATAAATTGGGCAGGCACCAGCTGGAAGCAATTGAAGAACGACAAATAGAAAGGATGAAGGGGAAAACGCAGCCCGGCCTTTATGGAATCCAAATGCACCATAATCATTCCCGGTCGTCTCTTAAGCAGGTGGTCCGCTCCACGAAGGCTGTAGACGTGCGGCGGAGGAAGGAGGACATGCAGCTCCTTCAACGCCTTGCTAGAAAGCGACTGCTCAATGACAAGGATGTTGGGAAAGAGCACGATATGGCGAGGGACGTCCACTGGGACGCCACGGTTGTAAATCTGCATATCATCCCCATCGACAGCTTCGGCCCCAGAATCATAACTGTCTTGCTTCTCGGCCTCAACATCCGCCACCTGCACATCTTCCTGTGCGGCATCCACCCCGGAATCCTCTGCGACAGCATCACCGGAGGTGAACTCATCGGCCACCACATTCCCTACCACGGCGGAGGGGTCGGAGTTCCCAGAGACACTCACCTCCCCTAAAGAACGAGACCTTGAATCCCCGGAGGAAGAAGAGCCAGAACCAGAACCAGAGCCGGAACCCGAACCCGAATCAAAGGAAATTTCCATCGAACCAACCATTTAACGAACGAGATTGGGGGAAAGAGAGAAGAACCGGAAAAAATTGAATTACCTTACTAAAATGGGAAGACGAAGCGACTGGAATCCGGTTAGCGCAGAAGCGGAGCGGCAGGAAGCTCAGGAACTCAGGAAGCAAGGAAATCGAAAACCCTAAACATATCGGAGGGGCAGGTATTTATAGGGGGACCGCTACCACATCCAACCAGGAAGTGACGCGTGGTGAGGAGCGTATCCAACGCCACGTGTCGCACAGAGATGAACGGACGCGAAATGATGATTTTTATGGGAAGTTGTACCGCCTGCAGTAATCGCAGCCTAGGGTACCGCGAAGCACCGCCAAGAGTCAGGCAACGGTCACATCAGGACTGTTGATGGAACCGGAACGGCGAGTGCACTTTCTACTTCCTTATGTCTCGCGCACGCTCGGAACATCAGAAGTGGGGGACTTGTGTTGGGTAAATGGCCCAGATAGGTCCAGACCATTAACCCATAGGAATAATTGGACGAACGTCCCCGGGGCCCAATACTCCAGGTTGCGGGATCACCAAGGTGGTGACGACGTTTGGTCCCTAAATGGGAGTCACATGCAATGGTGACGACGTACGGCCCCTGAGGAGGCTGCCTGGATAACGGACACCCCACCAGGAAACAAGTCACATGAGACGAACGTAAACAAACAGTCTATAAGCAAGGAGTTCAGTGGGGACGGACGTCCCCACCTAATGGCGGGAAACCATGATCTTGGCGGGAAGCGCATTTAATGCAGAAGATTTGGTGGTTGGGTTCCTAGCCAACCCGCCACCTCAGCACGCCCATCTAACCCTTGGGCAGTATAAATAGGAGCATTTATTTTATTGTAAAGGGTTGGCAACTTAGCACTCTAGCTCTCTAGCATTCATAGCAGCTCATAGCCTTGTAGCTAGACGAACGGCCTCACGCCATATATATTGTAACTGTGTGTTTGTACTCTTTCGAGCTAATATACTTTGGGCTTTCTGTTTACGGGCCTTTCTAGCCCATCTCTGCTTGTTGTTGTGTTGTTTTCCTACTTCTTCCATTCGAGATTCTTGGGTTTGCGTGTTGGGCCTACGAATCGAGGGAATAAACCTCAACAATATACTTACTAAATAAGTAAATACATTAAAATTAACTCGTCTGCTAAAGACTTTGCCTCGACTCACGCTCCCAGACCTAACGCAGTAAGCCAGTAACGCCTAAGCCCCTGGACAAAGAAGGTAGTGCGAACTCAGAGACGGAGCTAGGCCGTCGACGCTCGACGCGGAGGCTAGTGACGGCCATCGTATTCACTAAAGTATAGGAATGATTTGATGTTGC